TTTTTTTTTTTTTTTTTTTTTTTTTTTTTTTGTCTTTTTTTCGTGACCGGCAACGGATCGCAACCCTCAGTGTTGCCCCCGTACCGGACCGGGACTGGCCACGGGATCGCAACCCTCGGTGTTGCTCCCGCCCCTCGCTCAGCCAGTGAGCGGCCGGTCTGTATGTGGGATCCGAACCCTCGGCAGGAGCGCCGCCGCGCTTCCCAAGCAGCGCACTGTAGCAGTGCGCCACCGGGCCGGCCCCCCAAATTTCAAAAGGGCCTAAAAGTTCATACAAGAGAAGTGAAATCCTGCCTGTGAAGTAAGTGCCAGAAACCTTAAGGAAAAACCCACCTGAGACCACCCAGCTCAGAACAGCAGAGCCTGGGGGCAAGGATACCCCATGGGCCATTGACAGGGACCAGATTCAAATCCTCCTAGCCCCTCTGAACATGTACTAAGTCTGAGAGACCACACAGAGCCACCATTCCTTCTTGGCATGACTGCTGGCCTTTATCTGGCTTTTGATGACAAGCTAAGAAATGCCATGGCTGGTGCCTTCCAAGAGTGGTCAGGCTCACTAGAGAAGGGCTGCCACAATCTCTTTCTCTCTCTCTCTCTCTCTCTCTCTCTCTCTCTCTCTCACACACACACACACACACACACACACACACACACACACTTTAGCAACAGGAATAGGAAATGCTCCTGTTCTGGCCTCCTTGGGCTTAGCTCTTCTGCTCCCCTTAGAGACTACAGGGTGTTTCTATTCTCCAATGCCATTCTGCCTTCGTAATGGTGTGCCAACAAGAAAATTAACTGGATATGTGTAAATATGCTGTAGATCAGAGGACGGGGACCTGTCTGAGGAATCACACCTAATTGCCCCTCTACAAGCAACAAAGAAAAGAAAAATACTTTAAAAGCTCCTAATTTGTATTCTTAACAGGATTTGAGAAAATATTATATTTATGACACAAACATAGGCAATAATGAAAACAGAGCAATCCGAGATGAGGAACACTTGAACCGAGATGAAAAACATGATCACCCAATTAAAAAATGGGACGGAGGCAATGAACAGAAGATGGTAAACCACAGAAAAATGAAATCAGTCTGTTATAAAATAAATTTGAGAACTTCTCCCACGTCTCATAAGGAAATGAAAAAGAGGATTCCTTTATATTAATAAAATAGACAATCAATCCACAGTAAACCTTATGCACCAAATAACATAGC